CTTGGCTTCTTCGAAAGTGGATACCCCTACAAAAGTAAATGGGTTAAGTCTTTTGTACCTCTCAATATAACTTGGGTCCATCACGGATGGAACTAGATCCTATTAAAGAGGGACTGGATTATGGTGGGGAGGGACCAAGTGACCCTGTGGCGGCACCTATTTGTATGGTGGGTCCTCTACATTGTACTATAGTGGTGCAAAATGATATAGTGGAGGAGTAGGGTTATACTGAGGTGGCACTGGATCTTTCCATTTTACGGGTGGCTCATACTGTGGCAATGGTGGAAGGTCGGGCAGCTCCCTCCTCTCTTTACTGGCCTGCTGGGCAGAGATGAGTTTCTCCAGCATCTTGAAGAGCCAATCAACATCCTCTCAAAGTGACCCATCCTGAACTGTTTTTGTTTAGTGGAGACCTTCCTCTTCTCATGTCTTTGTATCTGCATTTCACAAGAAATGGTTGAGTGTCGGGTTATATTGAATGATTTTAATTTCTGTGCAAGTAATGGTTCTGAGGAACGCGACTCTGATACCAAATGTAAAGGCCCAAGACTTGATGGAAATGAATATATTGAATTAGTATGGAAGCAATTAAGAGTTTATGATTAATATTTCTTGACAATAAATTAAGATGCCTAATAGGGTTACGAGAATGTCCTTTTAGCGAACTTACAATAACATAAATAAAGAAAACATAACTAAAGTCCTATAGGGTTAACCTCCGCTGGGCAATTCTGGTAGAATGCGGGAGGCAACCTTTAGTCGCAACTTTCTTACTGTTCAGGATTTGGATCTTAGTCTTCCTAATATGAAATGGTTAAATAAGGAGATGAGTTACACTAACTCAATAAGAATGCCAACGCTTAACACTTATACAAAAAACTAAATGTTAGTAAAAATTATAAAATAACCAATAGAGCCATTTTAAAAAAAAAATTATTTAATACAAAAACATAACTTTTATACCTGCCATTTTTTAAGTTTCCAAAATCGACTCATGAAGGAAATAACCACGATAGCAATTTATTATGCATTTAAAGGAACAATAACAGTAAACTTACTTTTTTACCCACTTACTAGTATCTATATAAGTCCATAGGAATTTTTTCTACGCGTAGACCCAATATCTAATTTATCAATTAACCGGTTATCTCCATACCCCGTCCAGTGATGGACACCAAACATATCACCGCCTCAATACCCCATCCGGTATGAGAGTGAACTATACCTCCCAACCTCTTCTGGTATGGGACTTCTCAGCCCTGTTTGATTAAGATAATGTCCACGGTAGGATTTTTTATGTATCAAGTTCATATACCCTTCCCCAAGATACTCGATAAGCCTTTTATACACATATCCACATCATTAACTAGTCACAAATTACATATACCCATTTCATATTTAAATATCAATAATACATCATGCAAATAGACAATATAAATAATTAAGAAAATATATTTAGGGCATTTACTTCAAATCAGTCAATAGGTGAGAATAACAGTCAATAAATGAGAAAGCAATTAAAATCAATAGCAATGATAAAGTATCGCAGTTAAACTATGACAATTATACAATGATCGATTCCGGCTCCACCGATGACCCATAATTAATTTAAGGATCACTAATTCCTATAAAACATACTGTATTAATTATTAAACTTTAATTTACTATAACGGGAGAAAAGGATGAGGGATTCTTACTCCCGAGTCGGTATTCTCAAGTTTTTTTAGGTTTTTATGCGAAAATCAAAAACACGCGTTACGTATTCCAATTACCTCAAGAGGCAAAAATAAGCATTTTAAAATTTTTCTGACTGGTTTAAGGGTTCCGGCACAGTAGCGATGCAATGCTCCGGCACCAACTCCGTCACCCAACGGCGGTGTCTCCTCTCGTTCCTGCTGTTCCCTGCCGATTTTGGGCTTGTTTTACACAAAACCTGTAAAAGGGGGGGTTAAGTGGCCTCTATTAGCCCGGAAAAAGAAATATTGAAGCCTACCCATGGGGAAAAA